GGCTTTAGATATGCCGGTTCATCGCGTAGTATTTGTAACCGTTGCTGATGGCGCACGACAAAATAATCTTTGGCGCTGTTTGGTTTTTGTGCCACGCTGACATTGTCGTCAAGAGCTAAGTTTTCTATATCTTCAAGGTATTTATCTCATTTTACGTTCTGAGCAGCGCTCATTCTTCTGCTACCTCGAAGAATATGAACCGCAACACCAATATCCTTTACGAAAACCGTTGCAAATATCAATAACAGATACAATGCTGCCAGCCCTGACTGAAAGATCGCAAGCAACACTAGTAATACTAATGCAACCAAGTTCAAAATGCCTGGTAGCATTTCAAGTAGTCTATATATCCGTGAGCGTTTGTGTAAGGGTAATTCTAGATTATTCATCATTACCTATGAGAGATACGCAACTCCGAAAACCGCGTGAGAAAGCAAAAAAGTAACCAGCAATAGCAACAACGTAAGCCCCCCGAAGAGCTTCGCATGAACGCCCATGTTACGCTGTTTAAGCTTTACGATTAAAGCAAAGTGAGTAACAGCGATGATAATTGCGAACAAGACAAATGATACAAGATAATACCATTGGTTACGATAGTATTGTGTCTCGCCAAATGCGGAAAACCTCGTTGCAATCTGCAGCTCTGTTGGGCTCAAACGTAGCCCGATACTAATCACGACCAGTATCGCAGCTACGATAATCGCTATACTGAGCAATGTCAGACTCCTGTCTTCCTTCATCGCTTTTATTGTAGTAGTTATCATATTTTTCATAATACTTATGGAGCCGCTGACCGGATTTGAACCGGTGACCTACGCTTTACGAAAGCGCCGCTCTACCAACTGAGCTACAGCGGCATAACTCTTGTAGACCGCTTGTCATTATATCAAACCTAGGACGTTTCGAAAACGCTTGCTTATGTCACCACCTCTGTGATACTATACGGTAAGCAAAATCGTGCGCCTGTAGTGAAGTTGGCCTATCACGCCTCCCTGTCACGGAGGAGATCGCCGGTTCGAATCCGGTCAGGCGCGCCACGAAAATATCCACTCATATGAGTGGATATTTTCGTGAGACCTTAAAACTATTCTTT